GAGAGACAGGGCCTTCTAAGTGGTGGCTCCTTGGCTACGGAACGCCCTCCCAAGGGATATTAGATCGCCTCCCTCCCTCCTAACATTTCAAAAGAGAGTCAAAACCTGACTGTTTGAGCAGGCATTTGTAGATGAAGTGTAACAGATTAATTGAGATCCACGGAACGATTGGACGATGCGACGGAAAAATGATTTTAGTGATGAGGCACTGAGGACTTGTGCTTCATGATTTTTATTATTTTATTGCTTTTATGTGGTTTATAGTATATGTAATGTTTTAAACTGTATTTATGTTGTTTGGGGGCATTGACTGCCGACTGTAAACTGCCTCAAGTCACCTTTGGCTTGAGAGGGGCAGTATATAAATATGGTAAATAGATAAATAGTTATTATTATATTGTATTACATTATAATATTATAAATAGTGTATGTATATACAATATATTATATATTATATCGAGCTTAAAAAATAAATAAAAATAATCTTGATAAAATAGTAAAGAGTAGAGACATCACACTGGCAACAAAGATCCACATCGTTAAAGCAATGGTATTCCACATAGTCACCTACGGATGTGAGAGCTGGACAAGAAGGAAGGCTGTGCGAAGGAAGAGAGATGCTTTTGAACTGTGGTGTTGGAGGAAAGTTCTGAGAGTGCCTTGGACCATGTGAAGATCCAACCAGTCCATACTTCAGGAAATAAAGCCCGACTGCTCATTGGAAGGAAGAATAGTAGAGGCCAAGAGGAACTACTTTGGCCACATCATGAGAAGAAAGGAAAGCTTAGAGAAGACAATGAGGCTGGGGAAAATGGAAGGAAAAAGGAAGAGGGGCTGACCAAGAGCAAGATGGATGGATGATATCCTTCAGTGACTGGATTGACTTTGAAGGAGCTGGGGTTGATGACGGCCAACAGGGAGTTCTGGCCTGAGCTGGTCCATGAGGTCACGAAGAGTCGGAAACGACTGAACAAATGAACAACAAGGTGGACAATTGCCTCCAACAGACAGTTCTTTCTCCCACCCGGCACATCCTTCCAGGCAGGAAACAAGCAGGGCCAGTTAACACCTCCTAACAAAGGATTCCTCGCAGGCAGGAAGCAGGCAGGCTTTGAAGCTGCAAGGCCATTCAATGCTAATCGAGGTGGACAATTGCAACACCTGCCTGAAAGTGACAAGAGTTCTTTCTCCCACCCTGGACATCATTTTATGTCGTGCATTTGGCCTGCCCAAAATTCTGCATTATTCAGTTCTTGTGGGTTTTTTCGGGCTATATGGCCATGTTCTAGAGGCATTTCTCCTGACGTTTCGCCTGCATCTATGGCAAGCTTCCTCAGAGGTGAGGACCTCACCTCTGAGGAAGCTTGCCATAGATGCAGGCGAAACGTCAGGAGAAATGCCTCTAGAACATGGCCATATAGCCCGAAAAAACCCACAAGAACTGAGTGATTCCGGCCATGAAAGCCTTCGACAATACATTCTGCATTATGTTATTTTACACTTATTTTATCTGAATGTTTTATTTACTTTGTGATGTTATTTTTATTGTTCTGTATTTTATTTTGCTGTAATGTATCGCCGGGCCTGGCCTCATGTAAGCTGCTCCGAGTCCCTTTTGGGGAGATGGTGGCGGGGTATAAATAAAGGATTATTATTATTATTATTATTATTATTATTATTATATACTAGCCATCCCCCGCCACACGTTGCTGTGGCCCAATCTGTGCATATGTGTTTTGTGTGTGTATATAAGTGTGTGTATATATTTGTGTATATATGTGGTTTGGCAAATGCGTTGTAATGTATTTTTAATGGCTTTTTAAGTCTCTTCTGCTGTGTTTTTCAGTCTTTTTATGAGTGATGGTCACTCGTTGGCCTGAGAGGTGTCTTGTGTCCAATTTGGTGTCAATTCCCCCAGTGGTTCTTGAGTTATGTTAACCCCACAAATGAACATGACATTTTTATTTATATAGATACCCGCTATCCCCTTCCACGCCTTGCTGTGGCCCACTGTGGTGGTCATGGGGGTTCTGTGTGGGAGGTTTGGCCCACTTCTATCGGTGTTGGGGTTCAGAATACTCTTTGTAGGTGAACTATAAATCCCAGCAACTACAACTCCCAAATGTCAAAATTCTATTTTCCCCAAACTCCACCAGTGTTCACATTTGGGCATATTGAGTATTCGTGTAGATCAGGAGTCCTGAAACTTTGTAAACAGAGGGCCAGGTTACAGTCCCTCAAACTGTTGGAGGGCTGGATTATAATTGGAAAAAAACTTGAATGAATTCCTATGCACACTACACATATCTTATTTGTAGTGCAAAAACCACTTAAAACAATGCAATAATTAAAATGGAGAACAATTTTAACAAATATATATTTATTAGTATTTCAATGGGAAGTGTGGGCCTGCTTTTGGCTGATGAGATAGGGTTGTTGTTGTTGTTGTGTGCTTTCAAGTCATTACAGACTTAGGTTGATCCTAAGCGAGGGCCGGGTAAATGACCTTGGAGGGCTGCATTCGGCCCCCTGTCCTTAGTTTGAGGACCTCTGGTGTAGAGTTTGGTCCAGACTCATCATTGTTTGAGTCCACAGTGATCTCTGGATGTAGGTGAACTACAACTTCAAAACCAAAGGACACTGCCCACCAAACCCTTCCACTATTTTCTGTTGGTCATGGGAGAACTGTGTACCAATTTTGGTTCAATTCCATTGTCGGTGGGGTTAAGAAAGCTCTATGATTGTAGGTGAACCATAAATCCCAGCAACTACAACTCCCAAATGACAAACTCTTTTTTTTTTTTTTAGTGGAGAACATACATTGGGTTGTTAGGTGTCTTGTGTCCAAATTTGGTGTCGATTCGTCCAGTGGTTTTTGAGTTCTGTTAATCCCACAAACGAACATTACATTTTTATTTATATAGATGAGTCTACAGAGCCCATCTCAAACTCTTTTTTTTTTTAGTGGAGAACATACATTGGGCTGTTAGGGGTTGTTGTTGTTGTTGTTCATTCATTCAGTCTCCGACTCTTCATGACTTCATGGACCAGCCCACGCCAGAGCTCTCTGTCGGCCGTTACCACCCCCAGCTCCTTCAAGGTCAGTCCAGTCACTTCAAGGATGCCATTCATCCATCTTGCCCTTGGTCGGCCCCTCTTCCTTTTACCTTCCCCTTTCCCCAGCATAATTGTCTTCTCTAGACTTTGCTGTCTCCTCATGATGTGGCCAAATTCCACTTTGTCTCTAGTCTCCTTCCCTCCAATGAGCTTTAGTCGGGCTTTATTTCCTGGAGGATGGACTGGTTGGATCTTCTCGCAGTCCAAGGCACTCTCAGAACTTTCCTCCAACACCACAGTTCAAAAGCATCGATCTTCCTTCGCTCAGCCTTCCCTAAGGTCCAGCTCTCACATCCGTAGGTTACGACAGGGAATACCATGGCTTTGACTAGGCGGATCTTTGTTGCCAGTCTGATGTCTCTACTCTTTACTATTTTATCGAGACCGGACATTGCTCTCCTCCCAAGAAGTAAGCGTCTTCTGATTTCCTGGCCACAGTCTGCATCTGCAGTAATCTTTGCACCTAGAAATCCAAAGTCTGTCACGGCCTCCACATTTTCTCCCTCTATTTTCCAGTTGTCAATCATTCTTGTTGCCATAATCTTGGTTTTTTTGATGTTTAGCTGCAACCCAGCTTTTGCTTTCTTCTTTCACCTTGATTAGAAGGCTCCTCAGCTCCTCCTCGCTTTTGGCCATCAAAGTGGTATCATCTGCATATTTAAGGTTGTTCATGTTCCTTCCAGCAATTTTAACTTCAGCCTTGCATTCGTCAAGCCCCTGTAATCTTTGCACCTAGAAATACAAAGTCTGTGACGGCCTCCACATTTTCTCCCTCTACTTTCTAGTTGTCAATCATTCTTGTTGCCATAATCTTGGTTTTTTTAATGTTTAGCTGCAACCCAGCTTGTTAGGGGTATTGCTGGCAGTCTTCAGAAAGAACTTGAAGACCTGGCTGTTCCGATGTGCCTTCCCAGATTAGGAAATCTCCAATACCAAGTCCCATAAGCACTTTATTAGAACTAAGATTGCTGCACACCGCACACTGCACTTGCCCTATAATGCCTTATATACCACCTGTCACATCAGCACTTTTAATCCTGTACCCATTACTCTGGCCCGGCCTAGTTTATTTTATTGTGTTTTAGTGTATTGTTATTGCCTGTTGTTTATTATGCTTTATTGTTTTAATTTGCTTAGGTTTTGTATTGTTATATTGTGTATTGAGGCCTTGGCCTTTGTAAGCCGCATCGAGTCCTTCGGGAGATGTTAGCGGGGTACAAATAAAGTTTAATCATAATAATAATAATCATCGTGTCCAAATTTGGTGCCAATTGCCCCAGTGGTTTTTGAGTTCTGTGAATACCACAAACGAACATTACATTTTTATTTATATAGATGTAAGAATTTGTGTCCTGGCATTGAATGTTTGCTGTGGATATGCTGTGCTCCGCCCTGAGTCCCCTGAATTGGGGTGAGAAGGGCGGGATATCAGTGTTTTAAATAAATAAACAAACAAATAAACAAATAACCAGGGGTGAGATGCTGGGATGAAGAGGCAGTGTGGAAGGGCCCAGACCCAGCCTTCCTCGCCTGACAGAAGGGTCGATGCAGAGGGTTAGGTGAGACAGCCAGGGCCAGGCAGCCCAGCCCCATCCTGCCATACTTCCTCTTCCTCCTCTTCCTTTTCCTCTTCCCTTTTGCAGGGATATTGATTCTGAGGGCAGTGAGGTGAAACGTGGGCCAACCCCCCCTCCCCCTCCCCTCCCCCCCTCCCCCGCCTTTCCTGCGGCCTAGCGAGAGGCACAGAGAAGGCAGGCCTGGGCCTAGCGTGCCTCTCGGCCGCCATGAGGGAAGGAGAGACTCACAGAGAGAGAGAGAGAGAGAGAGAGGCCGGTCCCAGCGCGCCCGCCCCGCCCGCCGCCATTCTCCCCCCTCAGACTCACCCTCAGGTTCCGGCCTCCATGGAACCTCCATGGAGCCGACGACGACGCCTCCTCTTCCGCCGCCGACGACGCCTCAAGGCCCCATGACCGCCGCCACAGCCGCCGCCGCCTGAGGAGAAGGAGGCGCGAGGACAGCCAGGGACGGGAGGGGGGGGGGGGTTGTGCGCGCCCCCGCGCCTCGGCTCGCGCGCTCTCTCTCTCACACTCCCTACCCCTCTCTCTCTCGTGGACGCGCACGCAGCCCTCCCGAAAGGAGGCCGGGCAAAGCAGCGTGGAGCCAAGAGCCCGGATCTGCGGCTGGAAGGAAAACCCGGAAACTGGATTTTTCGGAAGGCGGGGAAAGGGAAAACCTGGGAGAAGGATTCTCTCTCTTTCTCCGTCCCCTTGAAAGAAAACCCGGGGCGGAGTTCTGAGGCTGGATCTACCTTGCCCTCCATGATAATAATAATAATAATAATAATAATAATAATAATAATAATAATAATAATAATAATAATAATATGGATGGACGGCATCCTTGAAGTGACTGGACTGACCTTGAAGGAGCTGGGGGTGGTGACGGCCGACAGGGAGCTCTGGCGTGGGCTGGTCCATGAGGTCACAAAGAGTCGGAGACGACTGAACGAATGAACAACAACAAATAATAATCATCATCATCATCTATATCTATATACCTGTTTATATATATCATCTATACACCTTATTCTGCATAGAATTATGGAAAAAATAGACCCATGTCTGATTCCACAGCAAGCTGGCTTCAGGAAAGGCAAAAGCTGCACATCACAAGTGCTGAACCTGACTCAGCACATAGAAGATGGCTTTGAAAGGCAGCAGATCACAGGAGCTGTCTTCATAGACCTGTCAGCGGCTTATGATACTGTGAACCACCGCCTCCTCCTGAGAAAAATGTATAATATCACAAAGGACTACCACCTCACCCGCCTCATAGGAAACCTGCTACAAAACAGGAGCTTTTTTGTTGAGTTCCAGGGCCAGAGAAGCAGATGGTGGAAACAGAAGAACAGCCTGCCACAAGGGGGGCGTGCTTCTCCATCCATGTTTAGCATTTACACAAATGATCAGCCGCTGGAAGGGAGAGAGAGTTTCATCTATGCTGATGATCGTGCCATTACTGCTCAAGCAGGGAGCTTTGAGATGGTTGAACAGAAGCTCTCCGAAGCTCTAGGTGCTCTTACTGCCTATTACAGGGAAAACCAGCTGATCCCTGATCCATCTAAAACACAGACATGTGCCTTTCACCTTAAGAACAGACAAGCATCCCGAGCTCTGGATCACCTGGGAAGGAATCCCACTGGAGCATTGCAGCGCACCCAAATACCTGGGAGTCACTCTGGACCGTGCTCTGACCTACAAGAAGCACTGCCTGAACATCAAGCAAAAAGTGGGTGCTAGAAACAATATCATACGAAAGCTGACTGGCACAACCTGGGGATCACAACCAGACACAGTGAAGACATCTCCCCTTGCACACCACTGGAGAAATTACACTGCTTAGCCGGTATTGCACCACCTGACATCCGCCGGGAAGTAGCAGCCAATAGTGAAAGGACCAAGGCAGAGACATCTCCAGCTCATCCCCTGTTTGGGTATCAGCCAGCACGTCAACGACTTAAATCAAGACATAGTTTTCTTAGATCTACAGAGACACTCGCTGGAACACCCCAGCAAGCGAGAGTCCAAAAGTGGCAGGCTCAAACCCAGCACCTCAACTCATGGGTGATACCAGATGAGATACTCCCCCCTGGGCACACAGAAGACTGGGCGACTTGGAAGGCGCTGAACAGACTGCGCTCTGGCACCACCAGATGCAGAGCCAACCTTGAGAGATGGGGCCACTAAGTGGAATCCTCGATATGCGAGTGGGGAGAGGAGCAAACCACTGACCACCTGCTGCAATGCACCCTGAGCCCTGCCACATGCACGATGGAGGACCTTCTTGCGGCAACCCAGAGGCACTCCAAGTGGCCAGATACTGGTCAAAGGACATTTAACCAAATACCAAATTTACAAAATCTGTGTGGTTTTTTTCTTTTTTCTTTTTTTCTTTTTCTTTTTAATCTCTGTGTTTGTTTTGCTCTGTTAGAATTGTAATACAATGGTTGCTGATGACACGATAAATAAATCCTTCCCCTTGAAAGAAAACCCGGGGCAGAGTTCTGAGGCTGGATCTACCTTGCCCTCCATGATGATGATCAGGCCTGTAGCGAGGGGGTGGTTTTAGGGGTTCAACCCCCCCCCCAAAATGTTTCAGATTTTTTTAAAAAACCTGGTTTACTCATGAATTTTAACTGGTTAACCAACATCCCCATGCTAAGTCTATGAGATGCAAAAAATCAAGAGTCCCTCCAGAACTGCAAGCACTATCTCAAGCAAATATTAGCAATTTATTCACACTGTCATTACTTGCAGCAATAGCCGAGGTAGTGAAGCAACCAAGTTATTGAGGTGCTGCTCTGCCCCCTGCAGTGCTCTTTGCTTCAGCGTGAGCTAGGAGGCAGGTTTACCCCCCCCCCCCCCATTTTAACCCTCCCTGAAATTTTCAACCCCCCCCCCAAACAAAATTGTCAACCCTCCCCAATTTTTTTTCTGGCAGCTGGAATATATACTATAATAATAATAATAATAATAAATATATAATATAATAATGTTGTTCATTCGTTCAGTCGTCTCCGACTCTTCGTGACCTCATGGACCAGCCCACGCCAGAGCTCCCTGTCGGCCGTCACCACCCCCAGCCCCTTCAAGGTCAGTCCAGTCACTTCAAGGATGCCATCCATCCATCTTGCCCTTGGTCGGCCCCTCTTCCTTTTGCCTTCCACTTTCCCCAGCATAATTGTCTTCTCTAGGCTTTCCTGTCTCCTCATGATGTGGCCAAAGTACTTCAACTTTGTCTCTAGTACTCCTTCCCTCCAGTGAGCAGTCGGGCTTTATTTCCTGGAGGATGGACTGGTTGGATCTTCTCGCAGTCCAAGGCACTCTCAGAACTTTTCTCCAACACCACAGCTCAAAAGCATCTCTCTTCCTTCGCTCGGCCTTCCCTAAAGTCCAGCTCTCACATCCGTAATAATAATAATCCGTAATAATAATAATAATAATGAGTCCGAAGACTCAAAGACCTCAACGGCGGGGCAAGAAGAGAATAACATGGTACATGTTACAACGGCTGTGAAGGCGGAAGAAGGCTGCAACAGATTGAGAAGCCACGGTCATTGTGTCAAACTACATCACCAGTGGAACCTCACTCTGTGAAGACTGTGTGTTGATCAGTTGTGCACTGACCTCCACACATTAAAAAAAACCCACGCACAGGCGTCTTCCAAAGAAAATAAAAAAACAAACCAAGAACAGAAGAAGAAGATCAATCATCATCATCTATATAAATAAAAATGTTATGTTCGTTTGTGGGATTAACAGAACTCAAAAGCCACTGGACGAATTGACACCAAATTTGGACACAAGACACCTAACAACCCAATGTATTCACACCTGGCTCCAGCAGACAAGAGTCCTTTGTCCCACCCTGGTCATTCCACAGATATATAAACCCATTTTCCTACTTCCAACAGACCTCACTACCTCTGAGGATGCTTGCCTTAGATGCAGGCGAAACGTCAGGAGAAAATGCCTCTAGAACATGGCCATATAGCCCGGAAAAACCTACAACAACCCATGAACATATTGTTGGAAATATTCTGTTGGTCTGATGTAACACAAAAGTCCTCTCTCTGTTGTTTCATCAGTCACAAAATGTATTTAAACAATACATTGTTTTATGGTATCAGGTAGGGATAAACCAGTCCAAAGTATTCAGGTAGTCAAAGCACAAGGTAGTATGTGATGCTGGGGGAAATGGAAGGAAAAAGGAAGAGGGGCCGACCAAGGGCAAGATGGATGGATGGCATCCTTGAAGTAACTGGATTGACCTTGAAGGAGCTGGGGGTGGTGACGGCCGACAGGGAGCTGTGGCCTGGGGTGGTTCAGGAGGTCACAAAGAGTCAGAAGCAACTGAACGAATAAACAACAACAACGGGGGGGGGGGGGGGAGGAAATGGCCTGAGACTGTTAGGAATGGTGGGAGTTGAAGTCCAAAACCCTTGGAGGGCCAAAGTTTGCCCATGCCGGGTATACATTGTATGTATGATACAAATGGCATCTTAAAATTGTTGTAAAGTCACATTGTGTGACTTTTCTCTTGTTTTCTATCATATTCATAATTATTGAATGCATTTTTTTAAACCCATGTGATTACGATTAATCGCTCAACTTAGTTTCTTGAAAGCTCTTCTAACACCACCCCGAAAGGTCCTGTCCCAGCACGCAGAGATATTGCTCCGATACTGAAAGAATGTTGATCAACGGGATAGGAATAGCCTTATAAAACTGGTAACCGCTGCCATGTTCCTGAATCATTGTAATAGCCAAAATTACCACCAAGTCTGCCCTCAAAGTAAAATGCTCACAAAGACCATCTTTAATTTGCCAAGTTGGGGGGGGGGGAGTACTTCCAGTTAACAACATAAAAAGATATGCCCACTAGCAAAATATCCAGCCTGGAAGGGCAACTGGATTCAGTAGTCTACTGGTGTGCAAATGAAAACATTCGAAAAGCAGACAGAAAAATAAAGAAGACATGCAACTCTTATCACTCCTTTTCACCTAATTCCAAAGAAGTGGCTCCTGGTCACAACATCTTTTATAGAACTCTAATATGCTGATGATAACGTAGTCTGTGCACATTCAGAAGAAGACCTACAAGCCACCCTAAACACCTTTGCAGAAACATACGAGAAGCTCGGCTTGTCGAGAAAATCAAAGTGCTCTTCCAGCAGTCACCAGCCAATCCCTCTCCAATGCCAGAAATACAACTTTCCGCTCCCTTGGCAGCCACCTCTCCACAAAAGTCAAGATTGACACTGAAATCCATTTATCATTCTAGCAGCATTCTAGCATTCGAGTGCAGCATTTTTCTGAATGAAGCAGAGAGTGTTTGAGGACCGGGACATCCATAGGGATACCAAGGGGCTTGTCTATAAGGCTATTGTCCTCCCAATCCTGCTATACGCCTGCAAGACGTGGACTGTCTACAGATGTCACACGCAACTCCTGGAACGATTCCCTCAGCGTTGCCTCTGGAAAATCCTGCAATCCTCTTGGGTAGACAGGCGGACAAATGTCAGCGTGCTGGAAGAAGAAGCAAAGACCACTGGTGGAGTTTGGGGAAAATAGATCTTGACATTTGGGAGTTGTAGTTGCTGAGATTTAT